CCACTGCACTCCTGCCTGGTCGACAGAGCAAGACCCTGCCTCAAGGAAAAAAAATCCCATACCTAACACCATACATGATAGTATGATGCTTAAAGCTTTCCCACTAATGCCAGAAACAAGACAAGGATGTCCACTTTCACCACTGCTAGCCAATAATGTACTGGAACTCTAGACAGAGTAATTAGACAAGACAAAGAAATAAAGGAACTCAAATTGGAAAGAAATAAGTTAAACTATTTTTATTCACAAATGACATAATCCCACATCTAGAAAATTCCAAAGAATCTATAAGACAAGAAAATTACCAGAAGTAAAAAACAAATTCAGCAAAGTTGCAGCATAAAGATTCAATACACAAAAGTCAGCTGTATTCCTAAACACCAGCAATGAATAATCTTAAAATAAAATTAAGAAAATAATTCTTTTTTTTTTTTTTTTTTTTTTTTGAGATGGAGTCTCTCTTTGTCACCCAGGCTAGAGTGCAGTGGCCGGATCTCAGCTCACTGCAAGCTCCGCCTCCCGGGTTTACGCCATTCTCCTGCCTCAGCCTCCCACGTAGCTGGGACTACAGGCGCCCGCCACCACGTCCGGCTAGTTTTTTGTATTTTTAGTAGAGACGGCGTTTCACCATGTTAGCCAGGATGAAGAAAATAATTCTAAAGTGTCCAAAAAAATAAAGCATCTAGTATTTAACAAGAAATTTAACCAGAGATAAGAGAGTTGTACACTGAAAACTACAAAACATCGCTGAGAGAAATTAAAGACTTGAATAAATGAAATGCCATCCCATGTTTATGGATTGAAAGACTTAAATATGGTTAAGATGGCAATATTACCCAAAACATATTACAGATCCAAGGCAATCCCTACGAAAATTCCAATGGCCTTTTCTGCAGAAATGGTAAGACTAATCTTAAAATTCATATAGAATGGAAAGGGGCAATGAATAGCCAAAGCAAGCTTGAAAAAGAACACGTCAGGCACATGATTGTTATCCCAGAGCTTTGGGAGGCTGAGGCAAGGAGGATCACCAGAGCCCAGGAATTCAAGACCAGCCAGGGCAACATGGCAAAACCCCATCTCCACAAAAAATACTGAAATCAGCCGGCCGTGGTAGCATGCACCTGTAGTCCCAGCTACTTGGGAGGCTGAGGTGGGAGGATCACTGGAGCCTGGGAAGTTGAGGCTGCAGTGAGCTGAGATCGTGCCACTGCACTCCAGCCTGGATGACAGAATGAGACACTGACTAAAAAAAAGAAAAAAGAAAAAGAAGAACAAAGGTGGAGAACTCACACCTTGCAGCCTTAAAACTTACTGTAGCACTACAGTCATCAAGACCGTGTGTTACTGGTATAAGGACATCTACATCAGCAGAACTGAATGTCCAGAAATAAACTCTACATCGGTTTTAGTTCATCTGGTGTTGCTATAACAGACACCTGAGACTGGGTAGTTTATAAAGAAGTGAATTTTATTTGGCTTACGAATCTGGTGACTGGAAAAGTTAAGACTGGGCATCTGCATCTGATGAGGTCTGCAAGCTGCAGACAACAAGGTCGGGTTGGCCACAAAGCCCAAGATGTTCCCCAATTTATGAATTAGTTTAGAATTCCACACAACCAGCACCTCACTACCACCAAGAGTGAGGCCCCAAGAATTCCAGTGGAAACTTTCTTCAGTGAAAACTAACTTATCTTCATTGATTTCAAGGCTGGTGCTAATTTCGGCTGTTGACTGCTTTGGCCTCTGTTTATGGGAGGTATCCTGGGTGGGAACTGTCAGGGGAAGATACCTGGAAGGCAGGAGTGAGCGAGACCAAATTGCAAGATTCAAACCAGTGAGGAGGCTCAACACGGGAAGCAAAGTCTCCAGGCCCAGCAGAGGCTTTCGGGGGCTGGAAAAGGGCGCCACCTGGTGGCATCTGAGCAGAAGTCAGTGACACGTTTTCACCCGTACGTCCATCCCGCTCCCAGCAGGTGCAGTGGGAAAGCTACGTAGGAAGTCCCTTTACAGTGTGCTGTGAGGGTGTGTAACCACATTGAATGGAAAGGGACCTCACTGGACTCAATCCAGTGACATCACACACGCCATGTCTCACACCCACAGAGAGAACCCCCAGGTCTTGAGTATGGGATGCCTGGCCTCATCTACCTTCTGAAGGCGTCGCTCAGGCACACTTTCATATGGGTAGTGTTTGGGTTAATTGGAAAGGTCAGGACACTGTTTCAGCGGGTATAGGAAAGTGACAGCAGTGGTGTCTGGAACACAAAGGAGAGTGCATGTGTCCACTCTCTCCTGGGACACGGGGACACTCTCCACTCTCCCCGGGACACGGGAACACTCTCTTCCCTTCCCTGGGACACACGGGGATGCTCTCCATTCTCCCCTGGGACACAGGCATGGGGATGCTCTCCACTCTCCCCTGGGACACGCGGGGACGCTCTCCACTCTCCCCTGGGACACGCGGGGATGCTCTCCACTCTCCCCTGGGACACGCGGGGATGCTCTCCATTCTCCCCTGGGACACACGGGGATGCTCTCCATTCTCCCCTGGGACACACGGGGATGCTCTCCATTCTCCCCTGGGACACAGGCATGGGGATGCTCTCCACTCTCCCCTGGGACACGCGGGGACGCTCTCCCCTCTTTCCTGGGAGTTCCAGGGTGACTGTCATCGTGAAGAATGACAGGGACTGACATAGTTTCCTGGTTTTTGGCATTAACCCACAAACCCAACAAGCACTCTGGGTTTTTCCTAGAGCATAAGCCTTAGCTAAAGTCATCCACATATTACGGTCCTGTGGATTTTCCTGTAACGCAAAGGAAAAGAGTCAGACAGCAGGAAATAAGGGGCTGGGGGGAGGCT